TCTTATGTCTTTTGTTGAACGTGCTGGTTTAGCCTCAGACCCTCCAGGCAAAGGACAACTTCCCCTATAAAAGTGAGCACTGCAACCCAGGCTTTTCTCAAAACCAGCTTCTCATCAGGGTTTTTACAAGATGAAGGATCACAGAAATCCAGACTGTTTCATATCTTGGGCATCCATGTAATTCCAATCAGTTTGTCTACCTACTGTGGTCTCACCCTTTCCTTGCACCAATGCAATTCCTTTGACCATGCACTTTGCTTTTTGAGTTCACTTAGGCCAATGCAAATAGACTCAAAAAACCTGACCATGTAATTCATTGGTTTCTGCTAGCTTACTGAACTGGCTCCGTACACAGCCAAAACCCAGCAGATGCCAGCACAAGCAAGTGCTCATAATTGAGGACAAGAGGGTGACAGGAGTGCCAAGTTTCATCAGTTTATGCCAATATGTAGGCAGCCTCAGATACAGAGAAGTTTTGCTTTTCAAAATTAGCATTTTTGGGTTTAAATCAAGATGAAAACACTTTTTTGCATTCAGCATCAGCCTCCAGAAGAAATGATCAGAATAGAGGAAAATAATTTTGCAGTAAAACACTGAAGTTGCTTCTTTTATTTAGTTTACGAGTAAGTTTGGTTCTGCTCAGTCCATGCATGTTCAAGATGGGATACTAGCTTGGACAAAATACCTTTCCAGCTTGTTTGGATACTGACTGCTAAATCACAGTTGACATCAGAAGTCAGAAATAAACTATGTTCCACCACCTTCTTCAGCTGTTTTAAAACCAGTTAAGCCTGTAATTGCAACGAAAAACATGAGGTAGATAAACTACTGGGTTTTTAAGTCATGAAATCACATTACTTCAGTCAGCCTTCAGTTCAGTGTTATAAGCCTTATGTTGAAATTCACAGTTTATCTCTAAGTCTGAACCATATTTAGCAGAACAGATAGCCACTGTGTAAACCAGATCATGGAAATTACTTGATTTTAAAATAAAATTGAAAATGTGTTTTTATTTCCAGTTCATGTGTTATCAGTCCTACTACATCAAATAGTCATATAAATACTTTTGCATATATTTTTGAATTCACAGTACAGCCTACCCACATTAAGAAGAAGTCTTTTTACATTCAGAACTGAAGCATTTTCTCCTACCTTTATCTCACTTCATAACTCCAGGCACATTTTTCTGAGGAGCTGACAACCTTACAAGGTCTTTAAACAAGGAATTACAGAAATTCAACATCTCATTAATTGAGATACATGCTTCACACAATTAAAAGATAATATCTGACTCTGAATAATATGGATCATGTACATTTATGACGCTGAGACTAAAGAGGTCTCAAAAATGCAGGAGGTCCCAAGGTATTATAGATATTTGATAGAATTCTAATTTTCTTCTCCAACAAATCACAAAACATTGGGGTAGAAAAGGGAAGATCTGTAAGCAATCAGGTGAACAAAACAGTAAGTTTTTCTCATCTGACGTCCACGCACATGCAGGGTATTTATGTTATGCCCTAGACATTATAACACCCAATTATAGCAGCCGGAAAACAGTACTCAATGTAAAGTCAGAAGAAAAACACACAAACACAATGCAAGTGAAATTTAACTTTTATTTTTCTGTTGATAAAACCCAAAGATCCCTCACAGCAGCAACAGATGCAGAAGTTATCTGCAGAAATGATACCTCTTCTTAATCTGTTTGCATACCCAAGTATGCCAAGTGTGTAGGGACTGCATATCAACACAGTACAGGCACTGCTCAGTAGTAACAGAGATCAAGTTTCTTGGCATATTTTAACCCATCCTTTCCTTAATATTATAAGGTTTTCATAGTATTAAAGATGACTGTTAATGAGTTGTCTGTTTATTGGATTTTTTGTTGTTGCAATTTAAAACCTTTTTATTAAATTCTACACATACAACTTATATGCCCAGCTACACCTCCCCACATTTTGTAGTAGTTGACAAACTGTATCCAAATGCTACAATTCAGAATGAAAATGCTACCGCATTTAGCAGCTCTAGCTGCACTAAATATTTCCGTAGAGTAACAAAACACACGTCTTTGTTCAGTAACACAAGGGATACAGGTTTTAAAATGCACATTTCTATCTTGTATCCATACTTTTCTTTAATATATATATATTTATATATAGCTCTAAAACAAATCTCTACTATTTTACAATTAAATTAAAACACATCCACAATTGGTCTAACTAGTCATTTTGGTCTCAATACTTTAAACATTAGTTGTTCCATAAAAATATACAATTCTGCAACATGGTTGTATCAGTAACATGAGGCCTTTTGAAAGAGGCCTATGACAGATATCAGCCGTGCAAATCAGTGCTCAATGCCATCTAACCGATAAATATTTATACTGCATTTTCAAACTATCAGTATCTTTAAAATCCAAATTTCTCTTTGCAGGCTTACCATGCTTACAAACATGCAGAAAGCAATCACATTTCTCATTTGCCTGTAGCAATCATATTTTTTTCATTCCCAATAGATCAACTGACAAAGCACAAACTTCATGCTGTCATTTTAGATCGCTAACCTTTTCCTTTCTTTCACATACTGAATTATTTCACAATGGATCATACTGCTCCATGTGAAAAGACTAGGGATTAGCCACATAGTAAGAACTGCACTTTTTAGTTTAAGCCTCTAAGAATCAAATTACTAATAGTCAATTAGGATGCATTCATAGCTGCCATACAAGTGAACAGACACCCAGTAGACAATCAAGTTAATTCTAGATATATACCAAAAGGTGAAGCTTTAAAAACAAAACAAAACCCAAAACCTAAACTACACAAGTACAGCCTCAAACCTGGTAGATTCCAAGAAGTGGACCTCTGTCCAGAAAATGTTTCTTCAAAATGGCACACAAGAACCATGCCACCATCAACCACGCTTGAGATAAGATATTAATCGCTTATACCTGGACATTTCCTTATTACCACCACAGCACCATTCCACATAAAAGTTTTATAGCAATGGCCATGTAGTACTTCTGTAGTACAAACAAGAACCCTCCAAATCAGAAGCAGTCAGTAATAAAACCCTGGACAATTTCACATGTCAGCGTAACCTAGCATATAAGCCTCAGAACATTTACTCTTACAAATGTAATAATCAATAATTTAGGTACTATCTATTCCAAGACCAGTACAGTCAGTCTGTAGATAAGACTACAACAGAGCATACCAAAAAACGCAAGAGGTATGACAGTTAAGATGAGTATTTCTTTTAAACAGCAGAAAGTCAGGGAAACATCTGGAATTCTTTTGCACTGCATTAACATATCTTCTGTTTGTGAACATAAAAATACATCCAGAGAGTCAATCCAGAACTGCATACACAATTACATTTCTCCCCTTACTGCTTTAAGATTAGTACAAAATAATATAAGTTTCAGGAATGATTGTTGCAAATTTGTAAATGTCAGCTATTACAAAATCATTATGTGAGAACACCAACTGTAAATTATTTACAGGTGAGGTAATAACAATTTCCAGAGTAACAAATTACAATTTAGAAGTGTAAAAATAATGTACTCACCAAAACATTACAAAATCTGGTATCATTATCAGCTACACAGTAGATAATGATTAGGTTTTGTAGTTGATATACAACATATTCTTAAGAAAAGTGCCAAAATACTGCTACATAAGAATCTTTTTTCCCAAAATCATTCAGCAAAAAAACCTGCAGATTCTACATTAAGTAATGCCAAAAGAAAAGAGGAAAAAAGGGATGCTAATTGTAGAAGTATGTCTTATTAAATGCCTTTGAAAAATCTGCAAATTCACTTCCATGCTTAAAGGTCTGACATGAAAGACGTACAAAAAAAAAAATCAATAGCCATATCAACATATATGCTTTTTTCAGGGTACTTTAGGCCATTTTAAAAGTACACATTCCTCTTATGCTACGAAACACATGGAGATTGAAAACATTCTAAAAATGGCTGAACTGCCACGGGTTGTTGCGATCAGTGGCACAAAGTCCTGCTGGGTGCCAGTCAGTACTGATGCACCCCAGGGGTCTATACTGGGGTCCGTGCTGTTTAACATTTTCATTAACTAACACGGGTGACAGGACAGAGTACCCTCCCAGCCAGCCATTCAGAGGGACCTCGGCAGGCTGGAGAAATGGGCAAACAGGAATCTCACAAAGTTCAGCAAAGGAAAGTGCAAAGTCTTACACCTGGGGAGGAATAACCCCATGCACCAGTAGAGGCTGGGGGGCTGCCCAGCTGCAAAGCAGCCTTGCAGAGAATGGTACCCAGCTGACCATGAGCCACCGATGTACCCCTGTGGCAAAGCAGCCCAGCAGCCTCCTGGTCGGCATTAGGAAGAGCACTGCCAGCAAGTTGAGGGAAGTGATTCTTCCCCTCTGCTGAGCCCTGGTGAGACACAGCTCAAGTGCTGGGTCCAGTTTGGGGCTCCCCAGTTCAGTACAGCCACGGGCATACAAAAGCGAGTCCAGTGAAGGGCCACAAAGGTGATTAGGTGATTGGAGCATCTGACAGTCAAGGAGAGGCTGAGAGAACTGGGATTGTCTAGCCTGGAGAAGAGAAAGCTCAGGGGTGATCTTACCAATGTGTGTAAATGCCTGACAGGGCATAAAAAGAGCCAGACTCTTCTCAGCAGCAGCCAGTGACTGGACAAGAGGCAATGGGCACAAACGGAAATATAGGAAACTCCATTTAAACATAAGAATGGACCTTCGTAGTGTGAGAGAGATCAAAACACTAGAACAGGTTGCCCAGAGATCTTCTGGAGTCTCCATCTTTGGAGATGCTCAAAAATCCAGCTTGTCACAGTCCTGAGCAACCTGCTCTAGCTAACCCTCCTCTGAGGAGGGGGGTTGGACTAGATGACCTCCAGGATCATCTGTGATCTCCAATCATTCTGTGATTCTATGAAAGGACAGTGTCTTTTGTAGCCCAGGCATTGGATCAACTGAATCACAAAGCAAACTATAAAACGTAAATGGAATATATTTTCTCTTTAAGTTATTGCATACAATGTTAATTTTGCTGCCTGCGTTTTGCCGATCTCATTTTTTCAAATCTCGACTCCATTTCTTCCAGGACCTTTGGCGTGTATCGCACAACTAATTTAACCTTTCCTTGAGCTGCCTTCAGCAGTTCTACTGCTTTTTCATGGTGTTCACCTTCAACACTCTGCAAAGCATAAACCATTAAGTACAGGATTAATAAAGACATACACTGAAACCAGATTTTTTCTTTTTTTTGTACAACTTCTATATAATCAAGTAGTGGAAGTATTCTAGTTTGAAGACTACACAAAGACAACGTCACCCAAGTTCAGGATTTATTCTTCAGCAAATCAGTAAGAGGTGATGATAAATATACTCATTAGTATTAACAAAAGAATAGAGCAAAACTTTTGGTTAGGTTTATGCTGAACAATTAAATTTTGTATTTACATACAGTAAGTGAAACAAGGCTAACATCAGGCAATTATGAAGTTACACTTAAATATCAACAACTTCAGGAGGACACTTATTTGAAATTCAAGATTGTTTATCTTCTTTCGGCATGCATTTTAAATTCAGTAGTCATCCTCAATTTGCCTAATAAGTTGCCACAGACAACCGCAAGATAGCTGCCTTCTTGATGTTATCCTGCGTTACAACAAGGCAAAACAGTGCATACTGGGCACCTGCAATAGAGCAGCTAACATGCAGCGTGCTGCTTATCTTAGTGCTCCACATGTCTCACAGTAAATGCAAGGTATTCAAGTTAATTTCCCCTAAACTGATTAAGAACAGCCTAACCCAACTCAGTAAGAACAGAATAAAAACACTTTCCTAAAACAACTCTCAGAATTTGTTAGGGTTATATTAGATTCATCTAATTACAAATTTTAAGCAACAATTCTCAACAACTGCATCCAAATATACATTCCTGGACAGCATACATTTTATCAGCAAAACTTATTTCTCCCAAACTTATTAAACACAACGATGGGACTACCCCAAGCCTACCTCCCACTGGTGCTATTAGAAGCTAGAAGGCAGGTGATGTACCTGTTGATTGGAGGGTTTCCCCGTTACTATAAAGTTACTTACAGAAAGAAAGACAACAGTTAAAAAAACCCAAGTTATTTCTCTTCTATCAGACTTAGACAACACATACATTTGAATGTTTTCATTATTGTTATTCAAGTGGATGTGTAGGCTGTTCTGTTTAAAACTGGTAATAGAAGGCTTTGTAAAATTCTATGTTTAATTATATCAAAACACCTAAAATTCTGGAGTACGCTCAAAATCTCCCAGTTGAAAAAAAACTTAAACTTATTTTAAGGCAGATTCACTGCAGTCTTGGCAGTGGCAATTTTTTTTTTTTTAAGTATTAAATTACAAATTACAATTACAAGAAAATGCCTGTCATGTATTAAGATGACAGGATTCCATCCGTAAACATCAGAAGCTGCTTCTTCTGACACCACATTAGCATTCTCAACAGTATTTTATGCACTCACTCACTGTATTCTTACAATGGCTCTATATATTTATACATCTGCATGCACACACACGCAGTCATTGTTAGCTGTACCAACTCTCTGATGATCAGGTTCAGTTTGGGGTGGAGTGGTGGTTTTGCTGTAAGAGGGTCTGTGGGTGAGGAAGGCCTCATCTGAAGACAGGTCTACACCTGTCCCTCAATGCTTCAAAATAACAGAAAGGCTACGCCAAGGACAGTTGCATCACCATGGCCATGACTTCTCTTACATCTCCTGAAAAGGACAGTTGGACTTCCAGGTAACAGTCAGGAGCCAAGTATGTCAGAGATCTGTGCTAGCAGGGACTTCCCAGAGTACAGACACCCAGTAAGTCTCTCTTCCTTTCATGTGTTAAAAATCCCCACTTGGGTTAAAGAGCACAGGATTCAGTTTGACCCTCAGTCAAACTGGGTTTCCAGATGTAATTATGAGAACATTAATTTTAAGCTAGCATACAGCTTCTCTGTAAATAAAAGCAAGAGTTTGAGAGCTATTTACATGCATTTGACTAGCAGCTGCCTTAAGTCAAAGCCTGTCAGTAGCCTCCTCTTTCCAGTCACCCTGTGTTTTGCTTTTTGTATTGTAACTCTTCAGAAGAGGATACTTATTAAAAATTAATATCCACAACAGCACTTTAGACACATACCCCTTAAAAAAAATGCTAGAAAGCCTCCGTTTTTGAAGCTCAGTACAATTAAGTGGACGGAAAAAAACCCCACACAACTGAAGATAACACCAACTTGTAGTTCCATCTTATTACAGCTCTCATTACGCAGTAGCATTTTTACTGGGATAATGAGAATCTGGTCAGTCTAACGCAACATAGCATAATTTACTACTTACCTTAGAAGGTGCAGAAAACCATATTAATTAAAATCTGCATCATGAAACTTGGATGTAAGAGGAAGCCATAATGGCAGTTTAATACTATTTCACAAAACAGTACTTTGACTAGATTTGTACAACCCCTCAGAATCTGAAATACTGACATAAATAGCACAGTTCCCAGTTGAGATAGATAACCACAGTATAATCCTAGAACTCTCAATGCACACAACTCTACAGAAACCTAAGCAAGTTGCTCTTGCAAGGACAAAAAGAAACTATTTTGCCAAGATTAAAACACGACACCAAGCTTGTGCCATGTATATTCTCTGCATGCCCCCAAGTGGAAACGAGTAGTTACTGCTACATAAAGTGAAAACCAATTCCTACCACTCCGTTTACAGAAAGCAGCTGGTCTCCGCGTTTCAGGCCTCCATGTCTATCAGCTATACCGCCAGGGATAATTCGAGAGATATAGATTGGAGAATTTTGTTCTTTGCCTCCCATAATGTTGAATCCAAGACCTTCTTCGGTTTTGGGTAGTTCAACCACTCTGGGATGGGAATGACCTTCACTAGCAGCAAATGCAGCTACAGTGGCCTGTTAAGAAACAAGATTTTCTGATTTATAATAAATTAAATATAGACCCCTTAGCTAGACACAGTGAGCAAGCCAAAGAAGTATTTTTATCTTCAAGTACTTAAATATTAAGACAAATGAGATTAATTCCCTAGATACCAACACTAGCATGAAAAATTTAGAACTCCAAGAATAAAATTAAAATAGAAGAAACTTAAAAACAACAAGTCTTTTGTTATACCTTTTAATAACTCGTTAAGTTTATCCATTTTATCAGACATCTACATAATATCCTTCTGAATTTTAAATAATCTTCTTCCGCTTCTAAAGTAACAAACTACCATATTTCACACAAGTTAAGGTTTGGCTTTTACCTTTGCTGTTGCATTAGCTCGAACTTCTGGGCTACTGCTGATATCCACAGTTTCATATACATGTTCATACACCTTTAGAGACAAAACAGTTTAAGTGTGGGGAAAACACATTTTTCTGCTTAGATAATATAACAAAATATCAGATACCACTTCAAAATGTGTAAATAAAAAAGTACACACCACTAATAAGAAGTTACTCTCTGATTCACTACAAGGTGTCAAGGGACAATCTACCATACTATGAAGAAACAACTCTCTCAGCATCTTTATTGCTCACTTAATCCATGCATATCTAGATCTCAACCTAAACGTTCCTTCCTTCCACACCATTCAGACCTCACCATTAATTTAGAAGTGCTTATGGCTAGTCTAACACACCTGACTGGAGACATGGACAACTACCTTCTCATCTGATTCAAGCTGGAACTCTTCAGTAAGGATGCATGTGAAATCACTTAAGGACAGCTCTTCAAAGCCCTCCCAACAACCCAGCCCTCCCCCCAAAACCTTGTATGTTCCTTCAACTGATGCAACTGACTGAATCTCTTTAAGAAAAAAATGGTATCAAAATGACAGAGGCAGTAAGAATACTAATGCTAAAGAGGTGCTTACACTGAGAGCTAACCCACATCCTCACATCTACCTGCCAGTCATTTGGACTTGCTAAGCAATAAACACACTGTCCTCCATAGGATGAAAACATTAAGATGACACCTTAAGGATGAAAACATTATGATGCCTACAAACAGATCTCTTAAATCATTCCAGGTGTTATCATCAGTGGTAGCACCAACAGCAACAGTAGGGCATATTCAATCACTTAATCTCCAAAAGGGTATCTGGAATGAAGATGAGGTGGTGCAAGGCTCTACCTCAAGGTGATGTGCAAGGTCACGTGGATTTGGCTTAAGAGAGGCAATTTGTACTTTGTCCATTCTTACATTCCAACAGAAAAACAGCCTGCTAGCTGCCAGTAAGGACAGACTCTCAAAATAACCTCTAAAAAGTGATTTGCTCCTGAGCCATTATTTAATACACCCATGCTATCCCAAATTATCTTCTTTTTAACTTTTAAAAATAAGTCTTGTTCTGTTAAGCTCTAAGCCAAATCAGCTTTTAGAAAGAACAAAATCAGATTATTACACTGAACGCAAAAATGCAAAAGTATAACATACTGGTTTTTAACTCAAGGTAACTACTTACGTCAAGTTAACTTACCTCCCTTACAGCATTACAGAATTCACTTTGAAGGACCCTTTGCAAAGCCTGTAGCTTTTGTGGTGGCACTTCTCCACTTCTCTGTAATTTTTCCAGCAACTCAATTGCTCTGCAGATGTCTACAGAAAAATAAAGCACTAGTAATGAGGAATGACTGAGAAAACTCAAGGGTAGTTTTTTGGTTTGGTTTTTTTTTGTTTGTTTTAATTTAAGTTAATGGAGCAGTCTGTGTGTGTGTGTGTGCGCACTTTTATATACCTTAAAACCACGTATTCATTTCTCCCATAAAACTATGTATCTACAAAATGTTACAATAAACCACCACATTTTTGCACTATTTTTAAGTCAACCAGAGCAATCCAACCCTGTAACATATCTGGAGGTACCACTGCCATACGTATATTTTAAAGACAATCTGATTTTTCCTTGAAGTTTAAATCAGGCTGAAATATTTCACTGATATAAACACTTTCAATATTTCATATGCATAACTTTGTAATTTATCTACTGCATGGATAACATTTTCTTAAAACCAGCTAGAATACTGTCAAATATGCTAACGTTCCTTTTATATTAAAAAAAATTATTTCAACAAGAGCACACTCGATGCTT